TTTTGTGGTGTCTAGAGCTGCTGTACCTTAATGCTTTGAGGACCACAAACACCCTATTCTTTGTATATTAGGGTTTCTTTGTTGTCTCGTGTAATAAAAGCAGTTTTATCAAGTGTGTGCTGTTCATGTGAGGCAAAGGCTTAAGGGAATTGTGTATGAAGAATCTTGTGTGTGTCTCTGGGGGATCCCACCCTGTATGAGACTTGGAGCACATCTGTGCTATCCCCATAGATCCCCTTCAGAGAATAGGATGTTGAATTTGTTTATGTAGAACTCTACAAAACTGCTACAGTTCTGTAGATCAGCATTCATTTCTGTTTCATGTTGATGGGCTTTTCAACAAGTTTTCATTCATTACACATGGCTATAATGGCAACTCTGCTTACACAAATGGTGACTATAACTTCAGCTGATCTGTTAAAATGGCCACAGGATGTGTACCAGTGGTAGAGCCTATCCCACTATTGTCTAATGCTATGGAATCCTACCCCACCTCCACCTAACTGTATCTCCACTTTCTCCCATCACCTCTTCCCCCACGGTTATTACCTTTTTTGTATCACTTGACCCCTCCCTTTTAGATTGTAAGCTCTAATGAGAAGGGCTCTCGGATTCCTATTGTATTGTAACTGTACTTTCTGCCCTAATATTGTATAGCAGTGCGCAAACTGTTGGCGCAATATAAATCCTGTATATTAAGAGTGGAGAGTGCTTTTTCAAACCAAATACCTTGTCAGAACATATTTTTTCCCTAATGTTTGCCTCTATTGAGTGTCAGCTGTTTTCTCAACTGGATGCAGCCACAAAAAGGAGTATGAGTAGTGCTGTAAGGCTGCATGCACACTGGGGTGTTTGCCCAACTCCTCAGAACACCTTTTCTGCTGGCAGGAGAAATGCACCTAAAGCTGCATTTTGCAAATGTGTTTAGCCAGGTCAAGTGTTTAGGCATTCATTCCACTGCCCACAATGTTAATCTATTCTGGCTAGGGTTGCACCAATACCTGTATCGGAGCGGATACCGAGTACATGCACAAGTACTTGTGCAAATGCTCCTGATACCGAAACTGATACTCTTGCTGTGCGATTTGAGCCCATACAAAATTAATGGACTCAATTTGCACTGCAAAGAATTGCATGCAATTTGAACAGGAATGCTGTGTGATTCCAGTCCGAATCACGTGGTTTCCTGCACACAGCTCCTCTATGAACCCAGGCTTATCATAGTGACTTTGAGCCGGAGTTCACACAGGAGCGGCGTGGGAAACCACCTTGCATGAAGGGTTCCATCAGCTCCTGATCCCAATGTGGACATTAGCAGCTGCATTTTGGGCTCCTCCTGCCTCTCCCATAGCGCTCTCTCCCCCCAGCCTCCAGAGGTTCCAGCCATCCTCTGGATCCCTTCCCCATTTTCCTTGGTCCTACTGTACCAGATTTCCGATCCCCACTCTGACGGCGAAAGCCACTTCACAGTCTGGGGATTTGAAATCCCTGCAGCTTTCTCACGTTTACCGTACAGGCTCAACTGCTTCAGATTCGTCAGCACCGTCCATTTTGTATGGGTTCAAATTGCACTGCAAAGGTATCTGTACTTGGTATCGACAAGTGCTTGACCACAAGTAACGGTACTCGTACTCGCTGATAAAACTGAACCATTGCATCCCTCATTCTGGCCATTGGAATGAATGCTCAAGTGTTAAATGAGCTTAGCATTTAGGTGTGTTTTTAAAGATGTTTAGGTATGTGAAGCATTTGTTTTTTTTTTATTTTTGCTCTCCTAAATGCATATGTGATGGATATTCTTTAGCGTCTAAACGCTCCTTCTGAATTGCCTGTAAACGCCTATGTGTGCATGGTGACAGGCTAACATAGAAGGGTGTTTTAGAGGCTATAAAAAGTTTACGTCCTGCACAGCTAACCATACACCGTCTTCACTGCTATATGGACTGCTCCTCAGATCAGTGACTCTCAGAAATTTCCAATGTTTAAATCATTTGTGAGTCTGACAGACATTTTTACCAATTTCTATCACTGGATGTTTGAATTATTGATCCTGAACAAAAGTATTCATGCCAGATGGCCAGGCAGCTAGCAGTTTCTCAAACAGAAGCATGGGCAACTCACAAATCTCTCAGTACAGGTCGACTGAAGAATGTTGCATGTAGTGTTAATTTATTTGTGACATAACCAATATCGAGTATGTACTCTGTGTAGTGGATATATTGCTGAGAGTTTTAATCTGTTATTTAAATGTCACAAATTTATAATTCTTAAAGTGAGTGTGTGTCTTGCAACATTCTTCTCCCAAGAGCATATCCTTTAAGCCTCAATTCGTTGTAGATGCTTTTATCCTTGGTTTGGGATTGATCTCGGTTTTTGTGAGTGGTGTCATGCTACCAAGTGTGGCTGAGATTAATATCCCATCTTTTCTTTTTCAGAAGCTGGCAGGCTGAAAAAGGCGTTCAGCTCACCGGACGGACTTTCTGGCTTTTGACCCTTTAGCTGGTAAGCTGATTGCCACTTCTGTGTGTATTAAAGTGATATCAAAGGAGATGTGTGTTTTTTTTTTTTTTTTTTTTTTTTGTCTTAAAATAAAAAGATGTTATACTTACCTGTTCTGTGCAATTATATTGCACAAAATGGTCCCTTAACTCCACTTTTGGCAGTCTCCTTTCAGCGCTGTCCGCTTTCCCCTGCTCCAAGTGCCTTGGCAAATTGGTGTGCTATGGGGGTGCCTGTGTATAATAAAAAAAATATTGAGAAAGCCAGGAACACTGGAGGATTGGGGCTGTTCTGTGCAAAACCGTTGCACAGAGCAGGCAAGTATAACATGTTTATTGAAAAATAGATGACCCTTTTAGAATCATGTTAAGGTACCTGTATACTCAAAGTGCACCTGTCCCCAGACTATGGACATAAAATGGTTTAGATATTCCTAAAGCGTATCTTAACCCTCTGCCTTCTACCCCAAATCCCCCCGCCGGCTTTTTTTTTTTATTCAACCCCTGCTTACCAGATTGCGGACTTTTTGCACATTTTATATACTCAACCAAGCAGTGAATCCAGCCGTGTCCCAAAATCTTCTTCCACTGATGGGCTCCTGTGATGCCATGTTTTTTTCATGTCATCGAGCAGGTGCCGGCTCTTCTGGGCTCAGCCAACTGGCCTCCTGATGACTTGCAGCTATGCCTGCCCACTTTTCTCCTTTGTAAATGGAAGACCATGCATGTCACATCCCAGGAGGCACAGGGATCGCAGTGCATGTCAATTACCTAGGCACATGTGTGGGGGAGGGGCCAGACTGAACCAAACTTTTGCTTTGAAAAGATAATGGTAAAATAAGAGGAGTGGAGAGGATGGGATTTTTTTTTTTTTTTTTTTTTTTTTGAGTGTTAAGATCTGCTTTAAGCAGTAAAATAATATTTAAATGGTCATCCCTGACCTCTCTAGCTGCTTTTTAATATGAGGTTTTTCTTTTTCAAAGCTATTCAAAGATCACAGCAAAGAATTTAGGGTTTGGTTTCAGCTAGTTTCTAACAGAAACATCTGCTGGTTGTTTACCAAAATTCTTTTCTCATGGAAAGATGCATTGTCTCTGGTGTGAACCTTGAAATTAATTTCTTTACAATGCTTATAGATGCAGAGATGATTGAGGGCTTGGTTTAAAGTTTCTTTACTGCTCGTTCAGAATATGTAATTACTTTAGTGTCCATGATCTGATTTGGGCACAAGTTCACTTTAAGACACCCACCTATTAAAAGAGAAGTTTTGGGTTTTTTTTTGTTTTTTTAATTATATTTATCTAGGCCAGGGGTCTCCAAACTTTACAAACAAAGGGCCAGATTACTGTCCTTCAGATTTCAGAGGGGCAGAATTGTGGCCAGTGGGGGTAGAAAATGTACCGGGCCCAACATCAGTGAGAATAAATATATTGTCATAGGGTTGGTAGACTGTTACATAGCGCCTGTAGTCAGTAGGAGAAGGAATGGTGGCCCGCTATCAGTGGAAGAAATAGCTCCTTCTTGTTTGTCAGTGCGAGGAATAGTGGCCCCCACCGTTGGTATCAGGAATTATGCCCCACTGTGGGTGTCAGTAGAAGGAATAGTGCCTCATTTCAGTGGTATGACAATTACCCCATGGAACAGATATAGGCTAGCAAAGGGCCACGTCCGGCCCTCGGGCCACAGTTTGGAGACCACTGATCTAGATGGATGCAGCATCGATCCCTGCCAGCTCTAAGGTTGAGAACGGAGCGATCAGGTACCATTGATTGCTCAGCTTTGGCTGTACTCCTTTAATCGGGCTTCAGCAGGTTCAGAAAGTTGGTCTGTAAAGAAATGAAGGCGTGTAGAAGATAACCTCGGCTTACCTTCAGGGAAGGAACATTCTCTACCAATATATACTCCTATAGTACATGGCTTTCACATTTCATGCAGGTGCCCAGAAATGTTTTAGATCATGAATGTTGCTGGCAGTATTCACTTTAAAAACATTTTGATCAATAAAGTATGTTACTTACCTGTTTGCAACATTTACCATGTAATTGGTTTTGGCCAAGAATTACTAGCGAATGCACATACCTTATAAACCTGTCTGACCTGCTTTAATTCTTCTTGGGGTGGTGGGGGGTACCAACAGGCAAATTTATATTGGCTGTGTCTGCTGCAGATTTTATATACTGTCTTTGCTGCCTGCAAAGCTTTGTGTTCTGGTAGTATGTGTCTAAATGTTTCAATCCTCATATCCACCATCAGAGGTCTCTCAGCTTGTTGATGAGTAAATGGCTGTTTAGTAACTTTTCCCATTACAGAAGAACCAAAAATAGCAGATGCTGAAATCTTGATTCTTTTAGGTTAAACATATTGTTGAAATTGTCTGCTGGTAAACCGCTTGATGTACAAAGAGGGCCTGTCTCCTAGAGACCATAGTAACAACCACTTTAAAGGCTTTGCCAATACTCTTATGCAGTCCTGGTGAAAAACAATTCATTTTGCAGTGGTTACACGGATTTGCGTGGGACAATGAGCTCGGTGGCGGTTCTTACCCAGGAAAGCTTTGATGAGCATCGCAGTGGGCTGACCCAACCAGCGGTCAGAGGTCAGTGATTTTATTTTTACTTTTTTACTGTAGCTTTTGTCTGCTTAAATTTGACTAGAACATACACGACTAGGTATATTTATTACAGTGGCAACCATCGGATCAGAGGAGGAAAGTGATCCCCCCACTTACAAAGATGCATTCCCACCCCTCCCAGAAAAGGCAGTTAGCAGTGAGACCACTTCTGAACCTGCAGGTGCATGGAGCAAGATCCGGCCTATCAAGTCTTCCGTTATCACTCAGGTTGGGTCAACGGCATTTTATGTTGATAATGTGGTGGTTGCATAGATTGGACGAAAATATTGTCACGGTAAAAAAGGAGTTTCCGTAGTTTTTTTTTTTTTTTTTTTTTTTTTTTGTAGTTTTTAATAGAGTAGGAAATGGCTTGGTTTTGGGGTGTCTCATTGAAGAGATTTCCTACCACTTCCTGTTTTTTTGTTTTCAGGACAGGAAGTGAAGACATAGCTACTCATGGTGACATTTAAGAGGGTATTTTCCCCTCACTAAGACAAATCTCCCCTCACTAGTAGAAACCTCTAGCTTAGTAGTAAATTTGCTTTAGTTGATATGTTTAACTTTGCAGAGGGACATAAACATTTGGTTGAGAATAACTGTCAGATGAACTGCAGTCTGTTTGTTTTTACCATTTTACCTGCCAAAGGATTTGTGATTCTGTACAGCGAGGATGATGTCACTTATATCCTTGTTCAGCAAGGCAGCTTGCTGTGTTATTTTTCAGTAAGGAAAGTGGTCCAGGAAAAAAACTGTAACCTCCCCTTTTAATGCAGATGATTTGCAGGGTCTGTTCACCCCAAACTGATATTTTATTTGGAGATGCTGTCAGTTTGAATGACCACCTGTAATCTCAGAGCAATGTTGACTTTTTTCAACACTGCTTTTTTTGCGTTGAGGACTTTTATAAAAAAATTGACAGAACTGTGGTTTGCTTGACACTGGTAACCAATAGTGAACTATAAAAGGGATTTCTGCGTTGTACTAACTTGTGTTGAAAAATCATTATTCATGTGTTAATTCAGTTTAGCATAAACTTCTAAGGAATGGAGTGTTCTTGGATTAATAAATTTACAAGCAGGTTTTCAAGTCTTTCTCCTGTTCTTCCATGAACATGATCACAAATTAGACTTCTGTGTTTTTTCTCTTAGGTGTTCCATGTCCCTCTAGAAGAACGCAGGTACAAAGACATGGCTCAGTTTGGGGAGGGTGAGCAGGCAAAGATTTGTTTGGACATCATGCAGAAGACTGGGGCTCAGTTGGAGCTTTCTCTGGCCAAAGACCAAGGCTTATCCATCATGGTTTCTGGAAAACTTGATTCTGTTATGAAGGCGAGAAAGGAAATAGTGACCCGGCTGCAGACACAGGTAAGAAGTCTGTTCTTCAGTGTACTTTTAGAGCAGATGTTGAGCCGTAGCCTTGACACTTTACTCCCATGGCACTGATCAGCTGGGGGAGAGTGATGTGCATTCTCTAAGGGGAAAGTGCAAAGGGAGGCTATACACGGACATGATGCAATCAAAATCCCCTTAAGGTTAAATTACCTGCATACTGGGGAATGTTTTTAATATAGTGTTAATCAACAGATTATTCTGGTAGCATCTAGTGTCAGTGGAGGATTGTTTCCCTTGCTCCATGTATCGAAGGATGGGAGTTGTTCTTCTTTGCTGCTCAAAGCCCTTCATTACACAAACACCCCTGTGTCTGATCAGAGTTCTTTGTTTCTTTGTGGTTATAAATTTCTGCGACGTTTTTCTGCCTGTTACATTCAAGTCTCGCCAATGCTACAATTTTCCTCTGTGTGAATGACAATTAGTCTTGGAGTGCTGTATAATTAAATGTTCTGCAGGCTGTATTTACTCAGCATGGCTGTACTGTAACATAGGGTAGATTTTAATGTTTAAGAGTTTTTTGGAAAGAGACCGCTTTTCACAAAATGCCATTTGCACCACGGCCTGATGAGCCATAGGAGGTACAATGGGATATGTCCTTGTGAATGTCACATACCTGGCAGTTCAAACTGACCAGGTTATACACCTAGGCTGTTCAAACTGACCAGGTTATACACCTAGGCTGTTCAAACTGACCAGGTTATACACCTAGGCTGTTCAAACTGACCAGGTTATACACCTAGGCTGTTCAAACTGACCAGTTATACACCTAGGCTGTTATACACCTAGGCTGTTCAAACTGACCAGGTTATACACCAGGCTGTTCACAGGGTATACACCTAGGCTGTTCAAACTGACCAGGGTATACACCTAGGCTGTTCAAACTGACCAGGGACAGCTAGGGTTCAAACTGACCAGGGTATACACCTAGGCTGTTCAAACTGACCAGGGTATACACCTAGGCTGTTCAAACTGACCAGGGTATACACCTAGGCTGTTCAAACTGACCAGGGTATACACCTAGGCTGTTCAAACTGACCAGGGTATACACCTAGGCTGTTCAAACTGACCATATATTAATTTAAGTTAAAAAAAAAATCAAAACAAAATTTTACTTATTAAAAAGATATATAGGCAGCTTGGACCTGTTCCCAGAATGAGGCTACAGCAGAGTTTTGTCCGAAACATTTTCAGAATTATCTGAAAAAGATTAGACCTCCTGTCTTATAGGCTTGGTTAAGAGACCCGAGTTTGATTAATTTTTCTTTTGCGTTTGCAGTTTGAATCAACAGCGGTTTGTGTGTCAAAAGGGATAGTAGACAATTCACATGACATAAAAAGTTTTACAATTTGCAAATTTCTCTGAACGGTTAACAGAAGAGGATAACATCTCATACGAGAAACTTGTCATAAATGAGTACTATGTGAAGAGTATGGGACATAGATTTGTCAGAAGGCTGGGTAATGGTGGTGCAAGCAAGTCTTTAGTCATTGAGAGGGTTAGGATAAGGAAGGGAACCCTCATTTTTATTTAGCCATCATTAGAGTCCTACCTGCTGCCCTGTGTACTGACGTTCACATGTAGATCCTACTACAGAGTCCTATATGCAAGGATGATCATGGATCCGAATTCTAAAAAGTCTCAATTGCTTTTATTAGTGGTTATTGGTGTGTAGCAGATATACAGATAGAGGCACACTCACTTTTTTTTTTTCATACAACATACAGTTATGACTGTGCATCCTTTGCTATCTGAGCAAGTCTGCTGTATGACATATCACTTGTGGTAATTCCTGCCCATCTAACCATGCTTTTATAATGTCCCTCTAGGCTTCAGCTTCAGTTGCTATCCCGAAGGAACACCACCGTTTTGTGATCGGTAAGAACGGAGAGAAGTTGCAGGACCTGGAATTGAAAACCGCTACCAAGATTCAAATCCCCCGGCCCGAGGATGCCAGTAACCAGATTAAGATCACTGGCACCAAAGAGGGCATTGAAAAAGCCCGGCATGAGATTCTGCTCATCTCAGCCGAGCAGGTGAGAAACTGCTGGTGTGTTAAAAAAAATTGTTTATCTTGATTCCTTTTAACATGTAAACAATTTTGATTTTTTTCACCCATCAGGATAAACGAGCAGTGGAACGCTTAGAAATCGAAAAGGCCTACCACCCTTTCATTGCTGGATCGTACAACAAGACCGTTAATGAGATCATGCATGAAACTGGAACAAGAATTAACATCCCACCACCAAGTGTCAACAAGACTGAGATTGTGTGCACTGGAGAGAAGGATCAGTTAGCCCAAGCAGTAGCAAAAATCCGGCAAATTTATGAAGAGAAGGTGAGAAAATGTGGGCTACCTCTAGGAGTTCCTCCTTCAGTTATAGAAAGCTCTTACTGAAAAGAAACTAGTTTTAATTATACTCTATATACAAAATATTACTATAGGCACAATGTGACTTCCAAAACACCTGGGGGGGGGGTAGTTTGTGCCCCCACCCCATTATAATTTGTATTCGTGAGAGAATTTTTAAATCTTATGTGGCCACTCCATAATACTTAATAGTTGTGTGCACAAGTGCAGTTTGGGTCCTGCTAATGTCCACAGATCTTAAATCAGATTTTGCAGAACATTTTACATGTCTTATTTTCTAGATCTGCTAGATTGCTCTAGCATCCAACTTCTCCCCTGCCTTCCTTTCATAAAGAGAAAAACTTAAAATGTAACTAGAAATCACAGAAAAGTTGTGTGGTGTTTTAATTTGTTTTATTCTATCAGTGTATTTTTCTTTGCGGCCACAGGGATTTTTGGAAATGGAAAGATATTGGATTGTTTAGATTTCACTGTAGCTTGCTGAAATCTGTTAACACGCTAGTTTTGAATTGTTTAAACCTACTGTTAATCTCTCTTTGTAGGTTCTTATAATTCTAATGCATGTTATTTTCAGTATAACAGTGATATTGCTTTTGATATAATTATGCTGGGTTTGTGACTTATTTGCTCAGCAAGCTGAAGTGGACTTGAGATCAATGTTTGACTTTTCCTTACTGCAGAAGAAGAAAACCACCAGCATTGCTGTGGAAGTGAGGAAGTCTCAACACAAGTATGTCATTGGTCCAAAGGGCAATAGCTTGCAGGAGATCCTGGAGCGCACTGGAGTTTCTGTGGAAATTCCACCCAGTGATAGCAGTTCAGAGACTGTCATCTTGCGGGGAGAACCTGAGAAACTGGGCCAGGCATTGACAGAAGTGTATGCAAAGGTAAAGACCAATTTGTGCATGGGTTCCTCTATTTACAAAATAGATGATCTATGACCTCTGACATGGTTGTGATCTGTCTTTCCAGGCTAACAGCTTTACAGTGGCTTCGGTCTCTGCTCCATCCTGGTTGCATCGGTTCATTATTGGCAAAAAAGGACAGAACTTGGCAAAGATCACACAGCAGATACCAAAGGTGAGTGGTTTTTTTTGCGTATGCTAGTTTCTCTGGTATGCCAGAGAACATAACACACTTCCTCCTCTGTAGTGATAGTGAATGGTCTTTGTTGCACTTCTGAAGTTCTGTAATGACAAATGTCCTAATCGTCGTCTTTGTAGGTGCACATTGAGTTTACAGAAGGGGAAGACAAGATCTCACTGGAGGGTCCCACAGAAGATGTTGCAGTTGCCCAACAGCAGATGGAAGTGCTTGTCAGTGACCTGGTCAGTTGCTTGTTTTACTACTCATACTTATGTTTGCAAATTAACCACTTCATGACCAGGGTAAAAACAAACAAACCAAAAACACAAAGCCCAAGTTTTCATTTTGCAACTTTAACATGTTAGTAAAACTATATATATATCGTAATTGGTATATCCAGATGGATTAGAGCTTGTCTTTATCAGGACAGATAAGGCTTTCGTTTATTGGGAAGTGTTAATGGATATCTGGTGGTGGGTGATGGTGGTTGTATTATTGGAAAACTGGCCCAAATGGAATAGTGTGTAGTTTCCTCCTCTCTAACGGACGAGTCTGTTTCTCTTCCTAACTGAGGAGCTACACAGGGAAGGACCACAAAGTGAGTGATCACTGTGATAGCCAATTAGAGGCTATCACAGCGATCATATGATTGGGGTTCGGTTTCCCGGGTCCTGATTGTTCATAGAGACCCGGGGCAGTCTCTGCGCTGTGAGCGCACGATCAAGTGTGCTCCCAGCACAAGAACACCTCTGTCAGACCCAGGTTTTATTCCCATTTCTGCATGCCACATATGTTGTAAAGGGGTTAATAGAATGAATCGGTGTTGCATAGAATTATGGCTTTTCCTATGGAAAAATTTATTTCCGTGGTCTTCATCCTTTTTTTTATTTTTTTAGATCTCTCGAATGGATTTTGCAGAGATAAGCATTGATCATCGATTTCACAGGCATCTCATTGGAAAGAGCGGAACAAACAGTATGTATATTCATTTTGTCCTTTTTAACATGCTAGTTTAGGTGGTGTTGGATACAGTTATCCACTTTTTTTCTTATAGGATTGGTGCCACTTTTTCGCTCCCTAAGAGTCAGCTGCTAGATTTAAGCACTATATGCTGCATACGATTGCCTTGACCTGCTTTCTGCATACAAAGTAATTCAAATGTAGTCTGTATTTTTAAGAAACTTTTAAGTCTTGTCAGTGCATTACATGTTAGAATATGCTTTTTGTGGTAAATGAGCACTAAGAAGCAGATACATTTTTTGATTGGCTAGTATTTGTTTACACATAGCAGATCAAAGACATTCATTTTAGAATTGGTGAGCTTGGCCCCCTGTGAAACTGAGTTGGCTTATACTAGCCAGTTGTGCAGTTAGCTTTGTAACCCCCGGGGTTGTGTTACTGGAAACCTGCATTGGGGTGCTGGTGACCATATAAGCACCACTCGGTCTTGAAAAGCCCAGCACAGGTCTCCACTAATCATTTGTAATCCAGACACTTGGCCATGGCTTTTTCTTTAACCTCCCTGGAGCTATTCCCGAGTGTAGCTCGGGGTAAAGTTTTAGCACCACAAGCGGTAACCCCAAGCTACACTCAGGAATACCCTGCAGCGCTGCTCTGGGATCTGTTCTTCACTTACCTTGTGCTGCGCTCCCGCTATGTCCCCCTGCAGTGTCCCCTGCAATGTCCTCCAGCCGATGACGGCATCTGTCTTCTGGGTTCCATTCCCTGCGACGTCAGGACGTACGGGGATGGAACGGCGGGAAATTTAAAAATGTGAAATAGGGACATTCACTAAATACACTAAAATCACATAGTAAAACATTACTGTAGCAAACCATTTCACATACATTTTGTCCCTAGTGCTTTGTCCTGTGCCCTGCCTGCATTTTTACTGTTCTTTCTGCCTGGAAACTGAGAAATGTCCATGGCGTCCAAAAAGCATCCCTTTTAGGTCAAAAGCAGTTTTAGACCAGCTAGAGAACAGCGATAGTAAATTAGAACTACTTGCAGAATTGAGTGATAATGATCTGTGGGGAAATTCGTCATCAGACACTGAAAACGATTTTGCGACTTTGCTCAGTGATGTGAGAACTTGGTGCTCTATTTCAAATTTCAGTGCTTTTGGTTTGATTATATTTAATTAAATTTATTATTATTATATTTTTTATGATTATTAAATTCTAATTTCTGATTTTCTGCTTCAAATTTTAACATACCCGGGATGTTTACTAGACTCTTGTTCGGACAGATTTCAGTGAGTTATTCCAAAAAAATTACAGGCCTACAATAAAAAATACATATTTCCATGCAAGAAAATGTACCGCTTTGAGCACACAAATAGTGACATAATCAGACTGCTAGGGAGGTTAAGTAAGAATTTCTTCAGAGCATAGAATAGTGTTTTTGCTTCCATACGGATTCTTGCTGGCCAATCTAGTGTAGTTTTAGATCTCAGTGACCACAAAGAAATATCTTTAAGGTTTAAAAGTAAACTGCGTTACTTATTGGTCTTAAGTTGGCCATACACTAGTAGAACTTTGTTTGTGGTTTTTGCTTTTAAAAATGTTGGATTTTCTAACTGTTGGTGGGGTAGTCATGAGAAGTTCGAAGGAGCAGAAGGGAAACGTTTCTTGAATGAACTAATTTCTAACAGTGTATATAGTTTTCGTTCAGGAAATCACATTCATTCCAAAATTGAATGTTAAAAGCAAACAAAATTTTAAAAGTACTTTTCAAACCGCATTTGTCAAATAAGATGTACTGAGGATTGTCTTAGGAACAGTGTCTGGCCAGTTTTAGACCTTTGACTGGCATGTTAACATAAAACAATTTCAGAAAGCAATTTAGTTGAGCTGTGGGGTTTCTTTTAGTTAACAGGATCAAAGAACAATACAAAGTATCAGTGCGTATTCCCCAGGACAGTGAAAAGAGCAATACAATCCGGATTGAAGGTGATCCACAAGGTGTACAGCAAGCGAAGAAAGAGTTGCTGGAGCTGGCATTACGAATGGTAAGTTTAGCAAACATTATTTCTCTTCTGAAGGAGACCAGCCACTAACCACACAAACATTATGTTTTAGGAAAATGAGCGCACAAAGGACTTGATAATTGATCAGAAGTTCCATCGTACAATAATTGGTCAGAAGGGTGAAAGAATTCGGGAGATCCGAGAGAAATTCCCAGATGTAAGATGCTTCTTCAGGCTCACAGTTTTGTTTGGTTTTTTTTTTTTTTTTGTTTGTTTTTTTTTCCTTTTTGATTAGTATGTTTAATTTCCTTCTAGGTGATCATTAATTTCCCAGATCCAACTCACAAGAGTGACATTGTACAGCTGCGCGGGCCTAAGAACGAGGTGGAGAAGTGTACCAAGTATCTGCAGAAAATGGTGTCAGAGATGGTAAGGGCAGAATGACATTTATGTTCGGGATTTGACTGGAATTAAACAGAAAATAAAAAGTACGTTTGCAGGAAAAATAAATTGCACCCATGATCAGTGGACCCTGCAGAGCCTTCCTCCAGCTCGCTGCCTGTACTTCAGTACAGGCTGTCTTTTGAGGAGCTGGAGAAAGTCAATTTTAAGAGTGCAGTGATTTTCGGTCCATTGAGAACTATGGGTCTGTCTGCCACAGATCTCTGTGAATGAGTGCTGTGTCCTTATGGGCAAAGCCTCACACAGCTAGGCCAATTTCAAGAGTTTAACTTGTAGTGCAACCTATTGAAATAGGAGCAAGCCTTTTATGCACATGAATGGTAAAAGGGATTGTGCATATTTTCTATGGTGTGAAAAGCATTAATTGTTGACTGCTGAGGTTTTCCAATTGGTGAATCTTTTTGCGATCTCTACTGAAGTTAATCCCCTACATGTCCAGATTTGAACGAGCAATATTAAAATTGATAGAATTGCTTGCATATATATATAGCAGTGGATGGCTGGTTGGTTATTAGTGCAGCTCAAAGTTTTTACACATATGGTAGCAGTAATGAAGCATTGACTATTCATTAATAGTCTATGTACAGTGCCTCCAGGCTTTATTCTCAATTAAACAGATTTTTTTATTGCAGCCCATTTACAAGTTAAAAAAAAAAAATTACAGCATCTGCTTCAGCAGTGCAGTACTACCCATTCATTGTTGTGGTTGTATAAACTATTATATAGATAAAGTAGTCATAACAGTTCAAATCGTTTTGAGAGTACGAAAAAGCTTTAATTTTGCTTTTTATTATTGTACAGGATTGGTATAGCTCCAACAGTTTGCACTGCACTTTACAAAATGAAAGTAGACATTACAGTTACAATACAATTTGGTACTAGAGGAAACAGAGGGCCCTGCTCGTTAGAGCTTACAATCTATTAGAGTGCACTACACAAAATTACTTTGCTTCTGTTCACATCATTCATGTCTCTGTCCAATTGGTATACTTTGGTATCATTTAGAGTAGCATATATATAGAATGGATAACCTACTTCTCCTTGCAGGTAGAAAACAGTTACACCATCTCTGTGCCGATCTTTAAGCAATTTCACAAGAACATTATTGGAAAGGGTGGTGCTAACATCAAGAAGGTATGGGTTTTTCATGTTTTTAAAGCCTAAGTGGTATCAAAATAAACACATCAGAACAAGGGGCATGACTTGCTATTAATGTGATCCTGGTTAATCCATAGGAACTGTAGTATAGCCATTATGAAAGGAGGAGCTGGGTGGAAAGGGTGGCCATAGTCGGTCACTCTTGAGTTAAAATGACAGCTTCCTCAGCCCCCAATGCACTGGAAGATTACAGTTGGGGGGGGGGGGGGGGATGCGGGGTGGAGAGTTGGATTGATGGAGGAAAGTTTTAAGGAAACCAGGGGTCAACAGCACAAGGGACACAGTGGGGTTGATTTACTACAACTGGCGCACTCAGGATCTGGTGCAGCTGTCCATGGTAGCCAATCAGCTTGTTCAGTTAAGCTTTGGCAATAAAATCTGGAAGCTAACTGGTTTCTATGCAGAGCTACACCAGATTTTGCACCTTGCAGTTTAAGTAAATCAACCCCAGTGCGTTAGCAGTAAGTCATGTCTTTGTGCTGATTTTTGTTTTTAATTTTGACTGCACCTAGGCTTTATAAAAGTTGTTTCACATTGTGGCTTAAAATATTGCATTTTCTCATACTTGTGCTGGTTGCCTTTTCATCCACCATGTTCAGATTCGTGAAGAATGTAACACTAAGATTGACCTCCCGGCTGAGAACAGTAACTCAGAAATGATTGTCATCACCGGGAAGAGAATCAACTGTGAGGCTGCACGTGATAGAATACTGGCTATCCAGAAGGAACTGGTAATTATTTCATTTTAAAGACTTCCATGTTGTAAAATGGGAGGGCTAGGGGAAAGGGAGTAAGACCTAAAATGGAGGACTAAAGGGACGAGAGTAATAAGTAAAATGGGCAACAGCAGACCAAACATCAGTGCTGCCAAAGAGAGGAGAAAATGGCTAAATCTTTTAAGAATGGAGACAAAACATTCTATTTTTTTTTTTTTTTTTTTAAATTTCATTTTTTATTACGTCAGCGATAAAGGGCATACATTAAATGAGATCACTGGAATGAAAACTGGGCACAACTCCACTTATATTGGAGGAGACAAAGATGTAGCAAACCATATAAACAATTACTTCTGTCCAGTCCTCTCATAAATAAATTGTACTAACAATAACCATTTGGTGGATCATATGAGTTCTAGTAATGACTGTTCATTTTGGAGAGAGAGGTAGCAGAACTGGCTCCGTTAAAGCTATATGGTATTGATGGTATTCATGCCAGAGTTCTAAGAGACTTTGAGGTATAGCTGTTGGACCATTAACGGACCGTATAAATCAATCTCTTCTAATAGAAGCTCCCCATTATTGGGGGACAGCTAATATTGTACCTATCCACAAAAAGGGTAGCAAGGTAGAAGCTGGCATTTACAGGCCAGTGTGTTTAACATCTGTTGTGGACAAGTTGATTTGAATTAAAAAAAAAAAATCTTAACTTTAAAAACTCACAATTTGCTGGACCCAAAACAGCATGTTTTTATTGAAGGCAGATCATGTCAGACTAATCTGATTGAATTTGTTGACTAGTCAGTAATTTTTAAATCAGCAAGGCACTGTGGACATAAACTAACTTGATGTCAGTAACTCGTTTTTATACATTTCCGCATAATGATCTATTTAAAAAGTTGTATAAATTAGGGCTTAACCCTTAGGTAATTCAGTGCATGTGCAGTTGGCTAAAAGATGGCTACTAGAGTGTGGTTGCAAATGGGGTTCATTCAGAACAGAGACCACCAGTGGTGTACCACAAGGCTCTGATCTATTTGATCCATATGTAAATTATATAACTAAAGGGTTGTGGTTAAGGTATGTTTTTTTGGCTTATGACACACAGGTGTGCAATGGAGTTGATATCCTTGGAGGTGTCTACAATATGGAGCAAAGTTTGGCATTGCTGAAAGATTGGTCAAAGCAGTGGAAGCTGCAGCTCAGTGTTTCTAAATAAAAATGATGCACCTAGGGAAAAATAATCCATTGACAGTACAACATTGGGAGTACAGAGGAAAAATATGGAGTACTTATTTCAGTGATTACAACATGCATAAACAGTGTAGCAAGGCAGTAGGAAAAAACAAATTGAATTCTAGGATGCATTACTAGAGGGGTCACCAGCAGGATGAAGGAGGTCCTGATTCCCCTCTATAGATCTTTAGTTAGACCTCATATAGAGTACTGTGTCCAGTTCTGAAGCCCTCATGTACAAAAAGATATTGGTGGAATGTGTCCAGAGGTGGGCAACAAAAATGGACAAATGTGTAAAGGTTTGAGGGATAAAACCTCAGAAGAAACTTCAGGAACTTAATATATACAGTCTGGAGGAAAGAGGAGAATTGGGAGAAATGATTGACACCTTTAAATTCATAGGGGGTGAATAAGGTTCAGGAGGACCTTATTTTTAATATGTAGCTAAGAATAAGAACATGGGTACATAAGGCCGGGAACAAACCTGAAACAAGTCACACACAATACACAGGTACTGTCAACCAGCCTTATACTATTGTTTCTAAGCATGAGAGAGACACTACCAAGTGTAAAGCTGACCTGGCACATCATGCAGCATTCACTCAGTACCCAAGAAATAACAGAATCCAACTGCAGTATTCTTGCACTGTCAAAACCTCCACTTTTATTAGCACACAACACACAGGAGGATATATCTTATAGTCATCACAATCTGCATAACACACACTAATAGTATGAGTCTCACAGCGTGAAATAAACATCTTTTGACAGCTTCACAGCACAGAATTAATACATTACCAAAGCGATGGGAAGAAGGGAAGGAAGAGACCTCATCAAAACCATAGTGCACAGGGGATCGTGGAGAAGCCTAGGACATGACCAAGACTGATGAGTCCATGCAGCTTTCACAAAAGTCCCTTTAATATCCTGGTTTAGTGATTCTGGCCACATTCCCAAACTGGGCGGTGCCTTACCCACTACAGGAAGTGTTACCTCAAGGAACCTTTCCAGTGTGTTTGAATAAACAGTCACTCCCAGTCACTTTACTGGACAAACCACTCTTATCTAATACCCCCAATCCTAGGGCAGGCCATAGACGGGTAGTTTATCGGCTGAATTTTCGGCCGATAAACAAAAAATCGGTCGTTGCTGGCAGCGATACTGCCATCAATGTCCACAAAAAAACGTCCGTTTTTAGTGGATTTTCCAACATGACTGATAAAAATAAATGAGAAGATCTGCAAAAAACGGCAGACGGGCAGACGAAAAGTCGGCCAATAAACGACCCGTCTATGGCCTGCATAACGGCACAAACCAATAAATATTTCTAACTACATAAACAACTTATCTTTTCTAACTTAAACATTTCTTAAATGCGCAAACAAGTTCACAAACAACTCTTATCTAATTTAAGCAGTTCTAAGTTCTTGTGACTCTGTAAGTTTCCCTTAGCCTAGAAAATGACATCAATGTCATTCCCTGTGTTTCTGGCATATGGGCAGCGATGCTTTATTGTAAAAATCCCCCAAGAAACAAAGGGCCCAAGGCCAGCACATTTCATAGGCATTACAGTACATCAAACTAGCTGGAGGAACGTTCAAAAATTAGAATGTATTATTTTACTGAAAGTAGTTTTGGAATAGACGTCCAGCAGAAGAAGTCGGTCAACAGGAAGTGGATTCAACATGCTTGGGACAAACCTAGATCTATATGTTCTTTCCACAAAAAGGATGTATAAATGTAAAAAAAAGCAGATTTATGGGCTGCTTGTTTGTTTTTTTTTTTTTTGTTGATTTTTCTGCTGTCTCTCTATGTTTCTAGGATTGGGGGTGGAAGGAGTAAGTGGAAGTGTAAATGGCACTTGGGTGGGATCCACGCCTTCAAGCTATGGCTACTTTCTCTTAATTTTCACAGCGGCATGGCTCTAGCAAGTCTCTAACAGTTGATGTTGAAACTAGCCACAGTATTTTCTCAATCTGCCTTATAGGAAAAGCCTAAATATATTTTAGTTAACACTTACACACTTTTTTTTATTTTTTTTTTTTTGTCTGCTGTCTATAATTCTAGGCAAACATTACAGAACTGGAGGTCAGTATTCCATCAAAATTGCACAACTCACTAATTGGAGCCAAGGGACGCTTCATAAGATCCATCATGGAAGAGTGCGGAGGTGTACATATTCACTTCCCAAGTGAGGGCTCTGGCAGTGATACAGTCACCATCCGAGGACCAGCTCAGGATGTAGAGAGAGCAAAGAAGCAGCTGCTGCAGCTGGCAGAGGAGAAGGTATGGTGTGTGCGTGTGGTATGAAATGAACAAGCACTATGATTAGGCATCCATTTCGCTAGCTGTTGTGCGTAGTTATTATATGCTTGTTATAGCATTTGCTTGTAACTAGTGGTCCACTGAGACTAAATTTTAAACCTCAAAAGAACCTGTAAGTTATCTACAGCCATGGTCAAAAACATTGGCACCAGATAATGCACCTCTTTGCCCAGAAAATTGCCTAAACATGTAATTACAACATTCTCATGTTTATTTTGTTTGTAGTGGCATGACACAAAGTGGAAACATAAAAAGCCAAATCTGACACATTCCATGCAAAACCCCAAAATTGGACTGGACAAATTTATTGGCACCTTCTCAAAATTGTAATTAATTGCGTTCCACGTTTTCTGATGCTCTTTTAATTTGTAATTAAACTCTCCTGTATCAGTTTACAGGTACTGACAATATAGAAATCACACAGGCAACCAGTTAAAATGGTGAAAAATGTACTCAACCTTTCAGTTGTGTCTCTGTGTGCCACATAGAGCATGGAGAAAGAGCAGCAAAACAAAAATTATGGAAAAGCATGGACAATCTCAAGGTTACAAGTCTATCTCCAGAGATCTTAATGTTCTATGTCCACTGTGCGCAACATGTCAAAGTTTAGACCATGTCACTGTAGCCAATCTCCCTGGACATGGATGAAAGAGGAAAATTGATCAGATTGCAACGAAGGATTGTATGAATGGTGACCTTCAGGCACAGGGTACAACTGTCAGCTCGCACCATATGTTGCCATCTGAATGAAAAGGGACGCTAAGGTAAGGAGACCCAGGAGGACCCCACTGCAGACACAGAAACATAAAGCAAGATTGGAGTTTGCCAAATCTTACCTGAGGAAGCCAAAATTCTTTTGGGAAAATGTGTTCTGTTTACAGATGAATCAAAATGACAGCTTTTTGGTAAAGCCCATCATTCTACTGTTTTTCAGAAAAAGCAATGAGGCCTTTAAAGAAAATACAGTCCCTACAATCAAACATGGTGGATGTTCACTGATGTTTTGGGGTTGCTTTGCTGCTTCAAGCCCTGGATGTCTTGACTGTGTGTATGCCATTATGAAATCTGAAGACTACCAAAGAATTCTAGGGTGCAATGTAGGGCCCAGTTTCAGAGAGTTGGGTCTCCGTCAGAGATCCTGGGTCTTACAGCAGGATAATGACCCAAAGCACACATCAAAAAGCACCCAGAAATGTTGTCCGGCAAAGATCTGGGAGAGTATTGAATTGGTCAGCAATGAGTCCCGATCTTAATCTCATAGTGCACCTCAAAACAGCAGTTGGGGGAAAAAACCCTTCCAATCTGAGAGACCTGGAGCAGTTGGCAAAAGAGCGGTCCAAAATTCCAGTAGGGAGGTGTAAAACTAATTGACGGTTACAGGAAGCAATTGATTTCAGGTTTTTTTTCCCCCAAGGGGTGTGGTACCAAATATTAAATTGAGGGTGCCAATAACTTTGTCTAGTCCATTTTTGGAGTGGTTTTTGCGTGGAATGTGTCATATTTGGCTTTTTGTTTCTCCACTTTTTTTTTACCCGTCATACCAATACAAGAAAAAGAAATAAACATGAGGCTGTCTAAAAATTTGTAATTGCAACAGTTTTCTGGGCAAAGTGGTGGAAATGCAGGGGTGCCAATATTTTTGGCCATGACTGTATGTAGGCTGTGTTAATTTATCTATACAGTACATTTGTTACACAGGTGACTGATCTTTAATCACTTGTGTTAGCATGATTTACAGTTGCTATTATGGCCAGCTGTGCGTCATATGCATCATCTCCACAATTCCATATACCGAGATTTCACTCATCCATCTATTGCCTACGTCCTATATCAGTTGATAGCTTGGGAGATTTTATCCGAGTGACACGGTTGTGAGGGCTTACTTTTGAAAAGAATTACATGATGCTGTCAAATGGAATAGGAGTACAAACATTCCTTATGCGGATACTGTATGCTTCTCAACTTTGGATGGTCATGCAAAAGCTAAAAGTATTTTGCATATGCTGTAATAAAGCTTATATATTTTATTTTTCAGCAAACAAAGAGCTTTACTGCAGAGTTACGAGCAAAGCCAGAATACCACAAATTCCTGATTGGTAAAGGTGGTGGAAACATCCGTAAAGTACGGGACATGACAGGAGCCCGTATAATTTTTCCCACTGCTGAGGATAAAGACCAGCAGCTCATCACTATTGTGGGTACAGAGGAGGCAGTGAAGGATGCTCAGAAGGAACTTGAGCTTCTCATCAAAAGCTTGGTAAGACTTTCATTTGAAAAAGCCACTGAATGGCCAAAGCAGGAGGAGCACTCTGGTCTTCTGATCTGTCAGTCACACGACTGGCTTTTCCAGTCAGAGCTGTTGGATGCACCTTGAAACAGACCTAGAGGCTGGTAGGAGGGGCAGCCTAGAAAGCTGCTTATTAGACACTGACCAAAGTGGTTGATTTTGCAGCAGGATTGCCATCCTGTATATGCTTATCAAATTGCTGCTGCAGCAGAAAGGGATTTCTGTAAATATTCAGCTTCCCTGCCTAGTTTAGTCTAGCAGGGGTGACTGGGTCTGCTGAAAATATGGAACAGCAAGCAGAGGGAAATATTGGCCACATCAAATTACTGCAGATAAATATCGCTATAACTTCTCCTTGAAAATACAGTGGTTTAAATTTAAATCTCTGCTATGCTAAAACTATTCTGTCCACCACTTGGGGGCTTCAAAAGGTAAATTGTTGTATTATGGAGGAATTAGCCCAAATTTCTACCTAACTTCTACCCCCTCCCCCCACAGTGAGATGTAGGCCTGTTGGTTTGTATTTAAGAGGTTGTCTACTTTCAAGATTTTCCCAACCTGCCATCTCTACATGATTGATTGTAATGGAATTTCTTTTCTTTTTTTATGTTTATGTATACATGTGTAGGTATAATGTATGTTTTTATAGAATTTTTGTTTTTGTAGGATAATGTTGTAGAAGATTACATGGCTGTGGATCCTAAGCACCATCGTCACTTTGTGATCCGGAGAGGGCAAGTGTTGCGTGAGATCGCTGAAGAATATGGTGGTGTAACTGTCAGCTTTCCTCGCTCTGGTGTGCAGAGTGATCGTGTTACCCTGAAAGGTGCAAAGGAGTGCGTTGAAGCTGCAAAGAAGAAGATCCTTGACATTATCGAGGATTTGGTAAGATTCAGCTGACCTGCTTATTTGTTGCTATCGGTGTAACATTTCTGTGTTATGGAGCCAGTAATGTGATTAATATTGTTATCCAGGAGGCTCAAGTCACCATTGAGTGCATGATTCCTCAAAGGTTCCATCGCTCTATAATGGGACCTAAAGGATCTAGAATCCAGCAGATCACCAGAGAACATGGTGTGCAGATTAAATTTCCTGACCGTGAGGAGAACCCTCAGGGAGGTAAGAAAGCTCATCTCTAATGCTGTAGTATGAGAACTCCTGAAAACGTAATGCGCTTTGTACAACTCATTCTGCATCTCTTTTCACTAGTACCCAATGCCGAGTCACCAGCACAAGAGAATGGCGAGGAAGGGATAGAGGCTAAAGTTGCTGCTGAGCCTGGCTCTCCTAAGAAGTGTGACATCATATTGATATCTGGCCGGAAGGAGAGATGTGAATCAGCCAACGAAGCACTAAAAGTAAGTGAGCACTAATTTTTTGAACACCTATCCTCATGGCACATGAAGTAAAACATTATGTTCAACTGCTTGTTACCTTTCTAACTTTTGCCTATCTCTTCTGTAGGCTCTTGTACCTGTCAGTATTGAAGTAGAGGTCCCATACGATCTTCATCGTTACATCATTGGACAGAAAGGGTCTGGTATTCGTAAGATGATGGATGAATTTGAGGTGGGTATTTTTTTAAAATGCTGAAAGACTTTCGTAAAGTCTTCTATGAAACATTTTGCTATTTAGAACACTTTTAAAATTTGATTGCGAGGGAAGAACCAGTCTGCAGTTAGCTGGTGACTTTATTGGCATGCTTTACTTATTTCTCTTTACATTAATCTTTACAAAATGAAACCTTTAGTTTGGCCAGTAACTTATCTAGGCCGCTAGTATAGTTTTAATGCTGTCACTCTTTGGGTATTCCAACATCTGCAGGTGCTGTAGCTGCTTGAATAAAATAGCTGGCAATGAAAGTTCCTCAATCCACGCTATTAATGTGGATGAAGAAATTATGCAGGTATGGCTATCCTTGTGCATGGGAGTTGGCCCTATCTGTCCTGACAGCTGATGTGATTTGATATTAATACATGCTGCTCCTTAATTCAGGAGTGTGCATAACCATATCCAGCAACAGCCCTGTGAATGTTTAAATCTTTCAGCTACTGGACTTTCATTGTCCTGTGAATGCTCCCTGTTGTCCAATGATGCACCTCACCTAGTGTAGAGTAAGCAGTCTTGTAATTTCTGGTCACATGCTCCACTATGTGTATTATTCCCATTGAGCTGAATTTTGTCTGCACGAAGATGTGTAGTCCATCTCTGGGTTAACAAAGGGTGACTACGTTCACAAGGGAGGCATGGAGAATGAACATAGCCAGTCTAGAACAAGAAGTCTGAGAACAGCAGCAAAGCTTGCATTTGAGAAATTAAATGAAGGGAGAGTGCATTCTACAACATATTGCATTTATTTTTATTAAAAAAAATGTTAAATGTCATTTTTTTTGAATGTTCAAATTATTGAACCCGATCAAGATCGATCCTTTGATTCTCCCTGGGGGCTTTAAATTTGTGTAACCAAGTTTTTGTGCTTCAGAAGAATAAGGCATAATAACAAATATATGCTTTTGTGTGCTTTTGGAGTTTGAAAAAAAAATAAAATATATATATATATAATTTTTTTTTTTTTTTTTTAATATAAAATCATATTTGACTGAGTAGTGCTTACCCATTATGGAAATACTCATGTTGCAGGTGAACATCCAAGTGCCCGCTCCTGAACTCCAGTCTGACACCATCATCATCACTGGGCTTTCCAGCAACCTAGAGCGAGCTAAAGCTGGACTTCAAGACAGAGTGAAGGAACTTCAGGCTGAGCAGGAGGATCGGGTGAGCCTGTAAAGATGTCCTGTGTAGTTATTTTGCAGTGTCAGCATCAAAAATCACTAAAGCAAACAATGTTTTTGGGAATCCTCCTAGAGTCAAGATTTTTTAAGCAAATAGTGTGGAAATTTTCCTAATGATGACTTTGAGTACTTTGCTTTTAATGTTCAGTACTGACACAGACTTTCTTGTTTGTAATCTTTATAGACGATTGCTAAAGACTCTTGACTATACAATGCCATCAAATAAAGCTGGGAGCATGTTGTCTACCAGCAGATAAAGTAGCAGAAAACGCTCTTGTTGTTAAATGGCTTCAAAGTGGAGCTAAAAGGTGCAATGGAATCAAGAAAGCTGTTCAACACTTACCAAAATCTTTGCAAAAGCTTTCTGTACATGCTGCTTTCATACAATCTGAAAGCCATATATGCAGGGAATGGGCAAAGTGTGAAAGCAAAGTATATGTTAAACACAAAACAAATGTACAAGATTAATACCTCAGGGATGCATCCCTGGTCTGTATTTTAATTTACGTTGCAGTGCTGACTTGCATTGTGTGCATGAAAATAGATGTAAATGATGGCAGCCCAGAATGTGTCAGTGTGCATCAAAGCATAGAGAGACTTGCTGAACACCAAATATTATAATTGTTTTATTTTTTTTGTCAGTCACTCCACTCTTAGGAGAAACAATCTCTCATGTGGGTGGGTAATGTACATTGCAGGGATTTTAACGAATGTTGCTGAGTCCTACCTTTCTGCTCTAAAGAAAAAGCTTTGTTTTATTATGGTCTTTTGGATGTGGAAACATGCATCTCTATACTACACAGCATACAGAGACAGACATTCTGCCTATCACTGTACGCCAACTTAAAGCTAATTTCCAGGTTTACTGTCCCTTTAACTAGTTCATTTGGGCCAAGCTGGCCCAAACAAATTTTTTTTCTACACTATCAAGTGCACCTAAAAATTCAGTCAGGCTGAGCAGTGTTCAGCCATTCATAGGCAGCTTTGCATTTTCTGAATGAATGCAAAGATTCATCTGATAGTCTGAGATCATGACATCATCTTCCCATCTCTGCCTCAGCTAATCAGATGAAACCTTGTATTTATTCAGAGAATACAAAGCTACCTGTAAATGGCTGTGTGCTGCTCAATATGCCTCAGTTTTTGTTTGGGCTGTGGGATGGGAAGTTCTAATCTCACTGCCACAACACAAGGCTGTATACTGTGTGTAGTGGGGCCACATACCATTTTATATTCAACTCGTTTTATTAGGTTTTAAATTAACAAGGCAGACAAGGAACATGGATAACCAAGGTTCACAATAGTACATTGGTAAACAGTTAAGAGATTGCCTATACAAGTGTATGTTCAAATAGTACAGCATGAACCGGTGGGGGAGGGGGCAGGAGGAGTGGATAACTGTTATAACTTATAGATTCATAACAATACCAGTCAGTGTAGGCAGATTAAAACCTAATTCTAAATGTACTCCAAAAAAGGTAGATGCCATCAAACTTCAACTGTGCATTTGGGTTGAAGTGCCAGGCTTTATAAAATTTGGGGTATGATAGGTGGTAGAATCTCCTCTCCATATCACATTGAGAATTTATATTGGCGACCACTCTTGTCAAGGACGGAGACTGTGGTTTTCCAAAGGCTAGTGATGTTGTTTTTGGCTGCAAATAGGATGTGTATGATGATGTCGCGAAGTCCGGGGAGAATCTATCTATACCTTTTATGAAGTAGTGCTAGGTCTGGGCTAGGAAGTATTATAGTACCTGAAAGTTCTGAAATTACTTTAAATATACTGTTTCAAAATGATCTGATAGATTTACAAGACCATATAATATGGAATAGAGACTCATTTTCCCTGCATTGTCTGCAGCATTGTGGAGAAATTGTCAGACATATTCTGATCAGTCGAATTGGAGTTGGGTACCATTTGTGTAATTTAATGTACGATTCCCAGTGAGTGGCACAGCGAGAGGCTTTGTGTGTGATAGTAAAGGCTCTCTTCCACCTTTTGGTCCGATATAGTTTGGAGGAAAAAAAGGGCTTCCCAGTTGGTAAAGATGTTGTTTTAAAGGTGAGTTTTGCGTTTAAAATAAGAGTAGAACAAGGAGCTTCCTTTGCCAGGTTATTTTGAGTCTATCAAGGAAGTGAGGTGCTGGAGAAGGAAGTGTAGTATTGTAGGATATATTATTGGTTCTTAAGCAATGTGAGATTCGGAGATAGGTAAACTCTTCTTTGGAAGGGATTGAATATTTTTGTTGAAGTTGGTGGAAGGTGGCTAATTCTTGGTGATCAAATAAGTCGGAAGTTAGGGATATTCCTAAATACTCCCATGAAGTTAGATCGATGTCCGGGATTAGGGTGGCGAGGGCATTAAGAGGGATAGGGATCTTATTAGATTTCGGAAGGGCATAAGTTTGCAAGTTTTTAACCACGCATCAACTGAGTCTCTGATGCAATGGTGTGTAAATGGAGGAGGTTTGCTGTCGGTGGAACAGAGGAGGAGGTAGGATTGCGGTGTGCTAGGGTGAAATACGTGAGATTCTAAGAGCAACTAACTTTTTCCCAGAGATGGGTTCCACCAGAAGTAAGTTTGATCAAGTAGTGTGGCTAGGTAATATGTATGTAAGTGGGGGAGACTCTTTCCACCTTTTTGATAAGGGCACATTAGTAGATTGTTAGAGCATCTGTGTCATTGGCTTCCCACAGGAACTGGGAAAAGTATCTTTTGTGTTGTATGGAAGAAATACATGGGTATGGGAAGGGTTCTAAAGATATACAAGAGTTTGGGGAGGTAAATCATTTTCAGGGCAGTAATGCGTCCTAATTTGGATAAGCCAAATGTTCGAAGCGAGGATATCTCTTTAGGGAGATTCTGAAGGAATGGTTTGTGATTATGGTTGCAGAGTTGAGAGGGAGAAGAAGTTAGGTTAATTCCAAGGTATGGGATTGAGTGATCAGCCCCACGTGTACAAAGTCTTTTGAGAGAAGCATTTGGGGTTTTTTGGTGTATATAGATTGAGAGTTAGGGATTTGTGTTAATTGAGGTTGTCGTATGAGACGTTGGCGTAGTAAATTAGGAGTTCTCTTATTCCATATATAAAGATCTGGCTGGGTTAGTAATCATTAGAATATCGTCAGCGGACAAACTTATTTTGTGCTCAGTCATAGTTTTATGCCTGTTATAAGATGGTCCTGTCTTATTTTTGCAGCACGTGGTTCAATTAATAGTGCAAATGTTAGAGGGGATAGTGGGCATCCCTGTCTAGTACCATTGGTGATATCGAATGGTTGCGAAAGCATACCATCTGTCAGGACTCTGGCTGATGGGGAGAAGTATAAAGACATCGCTGATTGTGTCCATCCTGTGATACCAAATTTTTGTAGTACTTTTTTTGCATAAATCCCCAGTGAACGCGGTTCAATGCCTTCTCTGCTTCAAGAGAGAAGAGCAGAGAAGGCATTCAGTGGTCTTGTATATTGTGTAGTAGAGATATTAAGTGCATAGTGGCGTCTGGAGCCTGTCGACTTGGTATGAAACCTACCTGGTCAGGATGTATTTGGGAGTAGTCTGCGAGCTATAAGTTTGGCAAACAATTTGACATCTCTATTAATAAGAAATAATAGGTCTATAATTTTGAACTTTTTTGGGGATCTTTCCCTGGTTTAGGTGTGGTCATTATAGTGGATTGCAGCATCTCTTTAAAAAGGTTGACCAGGTGTGGGGATAAGATATTAGCAAAATGCTTATAGAATTCATTGGTATAGCCATCACTGCCTGGCAATTTATGTAGTGGTAGTGAACGAATCACTAACTCTATTTCAGTAGAGATGAATGGATCAGAGATGTCCTGCATTTGTTCTGCAGAAAGAGTTGGAAGGTTAATTGATCTTAGAAAGGTTTGTATATCTTTGAGAGGGTTGAGGAGTGTTAAAGTCCTCTGAGATTGTAGAGGGTTCTATAGAAGTCTGCAAAAGCGTTTGCTATATCTAAGGAGTTAGATAAGGGTTTATTGGAGCTCGGGTGTTGGATTGTTTTAATTTTGGCTTTAACACATTGGTGTTTAACCGATCTGGCCAGGAGTGAAGTCACCTTGTTATTTAATGAGTAATAGATGACTTTTACTTTTTTCAGGTTTAGATCATACTTGTAAAGCAAAAGGTGTATCGGAGTCTTTCTCTTTCCTTAAAGAGGCCTGATGAATTTTGTTGGGAAGGATTTCGTTTGTTTTTGTCCTCTGGTTTTTATTGAGTCAGAGCTTCTCAATCTAAGGTTTTCTTTGGGCAGACACTTGAGATAATACCTTAATAAGTACCCTCCCCCCGCATGAAGGCTTTGATTGTGAACCAGAGGGTGCTAATGGAAACTTCAAGGGAAGCATTAGTCTCAAAAAAGAGATCATGAGCATCCATTAGTTTTCTTGTGGTTGGGATCAGTCAGAAGCAGAGTTGAGCCTCCACAGTTTAGGGGGGGATGTTCTGTTGTGGGTAGTTATGCAATGGTGATTGGTGTATGGTCCGACCAGGTTATGGAACCTATCGAGGAAGAGGAGATGTTTTGTAATGTCAACATATCTGTAAGGAAGAAGTCTATTCTAGAGTAAGACATTTGGGATGGAGAGGAGTCTCTCTGAGCCGTGTTTGCATCTCCAAATATCATTTAGTAACAATATTAAAGTCCCCCCCAATTAGTAGGTGCCCTTGTTTCATTGAAATTTCTTTGGACATTAGTTACTTGTAGAAGCGAAGTTGGTTTGCATTAGGACCGTATACGTTGACCAAGGTGAGAGGGGTATCATCAATTATATCAACAAGGATATGAAAGCAACCGCAAGGGTCTGCATACTCCGTAGAGAGTTGGAATTTGAGGGAGTCTTTGGCCATCATGACTCAATTTTTCTTTTTTTTGTGGTGAGATGCCAAGAATTTTGTTGATGTTTTTAAGATTGCATGTTGGTGTTTTAGATATTGCAAAATGAGTCTCTTATATAAAGACTTGTCAGCTCGATTGGCAGCCATTTCAGTGATGATCTTTAAAAGGGGGAGTTGAGCCCTCTGGCGTTTTAAATGATAGTATATTAATCATTTGGATGGTGGTATGAGATGATGTGAGCGTGGAGGCGCCCGTAGTCACGTAGACATGTTGAGGTGGTGCTTTGGAGGTATGCCGATTTAGTGTTCTGGCAATGAGTAGAGGTTTGAGGCGGAGTTTAAGTTGCCTGGACGATATGGCAAACCATTGGATGGTACTTATAAGTTGAGATCTTGAAGGTCTTTTCCCAGTAAATGGAGGAATGTCATGGAGTGTTGATGACTGGTGGTAGTAAGAGAAGTTAACATAGGAACTGATGTTTAATAACCTCTTGTGAAAAATGCAAGAAACATGGGTAGTTTAAAAAACTGTCAAACTGGGGCAGTGGAGAACAAGTAACGGGGGTTGTCACCAGGTAAGCAGGCATTGAGAGAGTAAAAAGAAAAAGCTCTGCAGCAATAAGCTTGTGAAGGATTATTCTGGTTTCCAGCTGTTGGAGAAACAATGTTTAAGTCCAGCCCCCCTCCATTTCATGGGGCTGGTGCGGGTTGGGGTTGTTTCGGCGGTCATCCACTGGGCGTATGTTCCATTCCTTTATGCCGTTATCTAGGCTTCTGATGGTGAAGGTTCTACTTTGATGTTTTATGAGGAGTTTAGTGGGGAAGCCCCATTGGTAATCAATATCGTTTCTCAGGGCTTTGGTAATAGAGATCAATTTTTTCCGATTAAGGAGGGTTTCTTTGGATAAATCAGCAAAAGCTTGATGCCTATAAGAAGTGGGTAGTGCCATGTGGTTTCTAGCGGCCATCATGAGCTTTTCATTGATTTGGTAGATGTGAACCCTAATCAGAACATCTCTTGGGATAGATGCTGGTAGGAATGACGGTTTTGGAATTCTGTGTGCTCTGTCAATAGCAGCTTTAGTGGAGGTGGTATTCGGTATCAGGAGCTTCATTAATTGTATATATGGTAGGAGGGAGTAATTTGAAACTGTTTCTGGGATCCCGCGATTTTTTTATATTTCGTCTTGAGTGGCATTCTTGGTCCGCTATCTTACTTTTCAGTAATGTGATCTCAGATTCATGGTCAGCGTGGGCGTCCACTACAGTGCTGTGCTGCAAACATAGCAGATCTCTTATTTTCAATGTGATGGATCCGATTAGAGTGGTCAGCAATGGCATTTGATAGGGGGGATATCACATTAGATTTATCGCTATGTAGTGTTTGCCTCAATGAAAGTAGCATATTTTTTATTGCTAATTCAGATACGGGTTGGTCAAAAGCTAGAAATTCTTCAATGTCGGATTGGAGTTGTAGTGTAGGACTAAGTAGAGTAGGTGAGGATCACTTAGCAGTGGATCATAAAATCTGGGCTCCTTGATGTAGGTGAGAGTGGAGGGGAAGACTGACCTGGGCCATTGTCGTACAGTGGAACGCAGAGCCTGGGATCTGGGATATACGAGCTGGAATCTTCAGCAGGGATGGAGCAGCCCTGCTGTGAGGTGCTGGCGCCATCTTGGCAGCATGGGTGTTAGGCAGGGAAGAAATCTATGAACCTCTGCGGTAGTGCCAGGGACTTCAGTCTCCTCGTCATTATTCCAGAGGGTGCTGGGGGGATATTCCCCTTGTTTAGGTGTGTTTTGGTGTCCTGGTAGTCGGGCTGTACGTCACTCACTATGCAGAGTGGCAACGGAGCTCCATTACCGAGCGGCGATCTTTGATCCCGGCCGTGCATGTGCTCACATACCATTTTATACAGCATGCCTGACGAGTGCACTTGTTAGTGTAGAAAATACTTTGGGCCAGTTTAGCCCAAAATACCAGTTAAAGGGACAGTAAACCTGGAGATCAGCTTTACAGTTGATGCTTTTTTTTTTTTTTCTTTTTTCTTACCTACAATTTCATAGTCCATAAACTGGAGGTAACTTTTTTTTAATTTGGTGCATTAATTGCTCCACTCTGTAAAAATGGCTCTATTAGGAAATACCTGAATATTTTACATGTGTTTAAAGCTACCGAAATGGCAGCAGGGATTTTTTGAATGTGGAGCAGGCAAGTTTAAAGGGCCTTAGCATCAGAAAAGTGTAGTTGGGGATTCAATGAATTTTTTCCCAATTTTTTACTTTCTACAAACTATGTACTAACATGAGGATACTTATACATTCAAACTTGTGTCAGAAAGAGGCGTAGCAGCACAGTGTGGGCCCCAGTTTATGTTTATAATTTTTGTTTTGCAGGCTTTGAGAAGCTTTAAACTGGTTATTACTGTCGACCCCAAATTTCATCCCAAGATCATTGGTCGTAAGGGTGCAGTTATCAGCCAGATTCGCACTGAGCATGATGTCAACATCCAGTTTCCAGACAAAAATGATGAAAACCAGGTAAAACCTTTTTAATGCCTTGAGCGTTCTAAAAAACATCACATCCAGAAGATTTAATATGACACATTTTTTAAAAATGTATATCTGAAGGCTATACCTATGACGAACTGAAATTGGAAGATTATTTGATTGCTTTAATCTTTGCATACAGGATGGTCTGATCCCAGATCTGCATGGATATATAAAAATTGGCAGAGCTACTTTTTAGTTTGTAAGTGGTTTCTCATAGCAAAAAAAAATTCAGAGCCACATAACTGAATTGATAGCCTCATAACTCAGGCTGCGGATGAGAATTTTTTGGTGTATTCTGTTCCCTGGAACAAGATAAAGTTCTCCTTTTTATTGTAAATGACAATATAGTTGAATGTGCAGCAGATGTAGCCAATGCTTCTCTGTATACATGTTGTTGTTCCTATCAGACAATTCCTGTATTGAAATTCCATGTGTTTAATCTTTCCAGGAACAGATCACAATCACAGGTTATGAGAGAAACACAGAGTCTGCTAAAGAGGCAATCCTGCAAATTGTTGGTGATTTAGAACAGATGGTGTCTGAAGACATTACTTTGGACCACCGTGTTCATGCCCGCATTATCGGGGCCAGAGGGAAAGCCATACGCAAAATTATGGATGAATTTAAGGCAAGTACTTCCAGAGGGTTATTTTCTGGATGAGGGGATTAGTTGCTTTTGCACTTTATGAAAATAAACTTAAAGCATGTATTCCTTTTCCATTGTTTTATGGAAAAATGTTTCCAGAAACTGCCATGACAATTTTAACTATTCAGCTTGTAATCATTCACTGGTGCTGAACACGTGAACCAAAAGACTGTCCACGGAGGCCCAGTTATTTCCCTATTGGGCTGTACCATCATATCTTCTATAGCATAGAGAAGGTGAAGCCAACCTGTTGATCATAGTTTGTATGTCAGACATCTCTGCCTTAACTGTGACCGCTGTATGTTAGCAGCCAGGGGAGTACTTGGTGATACAGATGAGAACTTATCACTTATGACTTTCAAAAAAGTAGAACTGTGCCTAACATCACGATTTCAAATGCATTCCTACCCCAAACGGTGCAGAATAAACATTTATGGAACATCTAAGGTTTCACTAGGTTTGCATGGTTCCAAAATGAAAAGGTTCACTTTAAAAACCCTTTTTTCTCTTTCTCCCAGGTGGATATTCGTTTCCCTCAGACTGGTGCCCCTGATCCCAACTGTGTGACTGTAATGGGCAAACCTGAGGATGTAGATGAAGCCATTGATCACTTGCTGAATTTAGAGGAGGAGTATGTAAGTGTGTTTTTAGTCCAGATCAGGGCTATCCTTTGGGTTTTTATCTTCTGGTAATCATGATTTGCGATACTATGATTGGCATACTTTCAGCAGTTTTCCAGTTTAACTTCACTAGCGGTATTCCTGAGTGTAGCTCGGGGTAAAATGTCAGTACCACAAGCGGTAACCCCGAGCTACACTCGGGCTTACCATGCGGCGTTGCTCAGGGATTCTCTGCAGAGCTTACCTTGTCCTTTGCTCCTGCGATGTGTCCCCTGCAGCGTCCCCAGCCATCTCCTCCAGCCGATGCCGGCTTCCGTGTTCCTGTCCCTGTGACGTTTTTAAAGTGTCATTTTTTTTTTAAAACTATTACATAGTAAAACATTGCTGTTTCAAACCATTTCACATACATTTTGTCCCTACTGCTTTTATCCTGTGCCCTGCCTGCATTTTGACTGTTCTTTCTGCCTGGAAACTGGGAAAAGTCCCTTTAAGTCAAAAGCGGTTAAAGACCAGCTAGAGAACAGCGATAGTAAATCAGAACCACTTGCAGAATTGAGTGATAATGATTTGTGGGGAAATTCGTCATCAGACACTGAAAACGATTTTGCGACTTTGCTCAGCGATGTGCGAACTTGGTGCTATATTTCAAATTTCAGTGTTTTTGGTTTGATTTATATTAAATTAAATTTATTTTTATTATATTATTTTTTATGATTATTTATTATATTATAATTTATGATTTCGTGTTTCAAGTTTTATCATATCCGGAATGTTTACTAGACTCTTGTTCGGACAGATTTCAGTGAGTTATTACTAAAAATGACCGGCCTACAATAAAAAAACTACATATTTCCATGCAAAATTAATGGTACCGCTTTCAGCACCAAAAATCTGAAATAATCATACCGCTAGGGAGGTTAAAAAACAATGTTTTTTAAACACGTGCTTTAATTGACATTGCCTTTTTAGATGGCTGACGTAGTGGAGAATGAAGTGATGCAGTCATACATGAAGCCCCACACTCAGGAAGAGTCCAAGCCCCAGCCATCCAAGGGCTTTGTGGTGCGTGATGCCCCCTGGGCATCTGTAGGCAACAATGAGAAGGTGAGATTGTACAAGGCTACTAAAACTGAAAATAAAATGCCATCTGTAATGTAATCGGCATATGTTGATGTCTAGGTTCATTTCAAGTCTGAGATGAGGGTGCATGTTTCGTACTTGAGACATTTTTGCATCATCCTTCCCATTTTAAAGGGCAATAGGTTTAACAAGGCAGACTCAGATGTTTTTTACAAATTCCTTTCTGTAATGGTGTCAAAGTGCTGCAACATTGATTGGTTAATATGGAGATGTTTGATTCCCACTGTAACATACCCAGCTTAAACTGTTGCTGCCTTTTGCATAGTGACTTATGCATTATGTGTCTAAAATTGGGTAGCTTCAACACCTAGCTGTTAATTTACTTTCTTTTTAAAGAAGTTGTCTTTTAAAGCAGATGAAATTTGTCCCTGAACAGCCATTTTGTGAAAGGCTTCTTTTAAAGACCATTTACTTTTTTTTTCTGTTCCCTTCTAGGCTCCTGACATGACCAGCTCGGAGGATTTTCCCAGTTTTGGGGCTCCGGTCCCCCCTAAAACATCTCCATGGGGCCCCAAGAGACACGGCGGTGGAAAGGGCCTGATGCCTGCTGACATGTCTGCTTCCTGTTAATTCTCCTGTTGCTGTGTCTGATTCACTCGTCCCGTCATCTCCTCATCTTCTTCACCCCTTTTTCCTTTGCCTCCCAGAAACATGTATAACCGGTCAATGCTGCAGGGGTTTACTTGGCACTTCTGGGTTTCTGGTTCCTCATGAAGAATAATAAATGGGCAATGTAGTGACAGGATAGGCCATAGTGAGCATATTATAATTGTCCCTACAGCTTCAGCTATTTAAAGCGGTTTGTTTCTAAAGTGCAAATACTGCCACCACAGTACCTTGCTAATGTCCAGAGATACATGTGGTGTTGACTTGATTACCAAGACTTCTTCCCTATTTTAATGGTTAAAGTCTATGCATAGTATAAAATGCACCAAGCCATTGAAAGAAATAACCATTGTCCCACAAGAACATTCAACCAAATTCTTGTTTGCACAGTTGTGATATACTTGGTAGTCTTGCGTTTAAAAAAAATTAAAGTGAACAAAAAAATGAATGTTTAGTGTGAGGGTGGGATTACTTGGAGGGCTGCATAGGTCTCCTAGGTGCCATCCTGATGTCCTCAATACACTTGGGTCTTAATACAACTGCTGTCCTGCTGCAGTGCAGAATGTATTGTAAAGTGCCCTGTAACCCTGTCACTGCCAGAGCCATTTGGGGGGTAGGATATGCACAAATGGGGGTTTTAGAGGGTGTGAACACCTTTTTCTCCCGCTTCCTCTCATTCGGTTTTAAGTCATTACAGCCAATTGTTTTCCAAGCTGTGGAGAAGCCTAGAATTTTACTATGGTGACATCAAAACTGAATATTACCCCTTTGCTGCTGATGGAAGACATGCCATGAGCGGAATTGGTTAGAGAGCCTACCACATCTCAATAGTCCTGTCACAGCCCTTCCTCTTGTCCCCTTACCTCTGATGCCGGGGGAAAGGGATCATGTTTTGTCCTGTTTGGGTGGGGGATAACATTAGCTCCAGGTTTTTCCAGACCTCTCCTCAGCCCCCTTAACCCTTGGACATTTCTTCTTACTGTGCCTCAGTATCAACTTCCTGTACACAAAAGTCAGGAAATAAACATCCTATAAAAGCCAAAGTCTTGTTCTTTACTGGAAAAATTTGTGCAACATGCTGTGTTTTTTTTGTTTCTTTTGGATAATCTATTTTATTTACTTTTATGAACATTATGGGTAATTCTGCTGTAATTGCTGAATGGTGCTAGCTTGTGTCTATAATTATGGCTTTGGAGCTGTATGTGCTTCTGCAGGTTGCTCAGGTGCAGTGTGTGAAAACACTTTAAGTAGAAGTCCATACTCGGACAATGAACAGCCCTGGACATACCTGAAACTTTACATGACAAGCCTTCTGTGTTGAGCAAAATGCCAGTTGACATTTTAAGGTCTACCATTGCCAGTCATTACCATGTGCTCACAAACCTTGCTTAGGAGTGACAAATACAGAACTGCTGACATCCCTAGGTGTATAAGTGAATTCCTGGTAATGGTACTCCAGGAAATGTGATTTTATTAGCCAAATATTTGGCACCAATTGGGTCCAAAGGGACTTCTATCACCATCTGGCCAATACTGCCCTTACAGTTGTTGCCTTGCAGTGAATTTCTTTGTGTTACAGAATGTACAGTTGTGTTCAAAATAATAGCAGTCAGACATCACTAAACTGATCAATCACTGTTTTTGGTAGAAATGATATTTCTACATGGCAAATAATTTACTAGCAGATGTAGTAGAGTAATAGAAATCCAACAGACCCAACAGTCATGACATGCATGCTGCGATTCTGTGTAATTGAATCACTACTTGAAAGGGGCATGTTCAAAATAATAGCAGTGTGGAGTTCTATTAGTGAGGTCATTCATTCTTTGAAAAACAGGTGGCAATGTTTGCCCTTATTTAAGGAAGGAAGGCAGCAAATGTTGTACATGCTGGTTACAGTGCATTTCTCTCTGAAATTCTGAGGAAAATGGGTCGGAACACCCATTTTTCAGAAGAACAGCGTACCTTGATTAAAAAGTTGATTGGAGAGGGGAAAACATATAAAGAAGTGCAGAAAATGATAGGCTGCTCAGCTAAAATGATCGCAAATGCTTTAAAATGGCAACCAAAACCAGAAAGACGTGGAAGAAAACAAAAAACTACCATTCGAATGGATAGAAGAATAGCCAAAATGGCAAGGAGTCAGCCAACAATCCGAAGATCAAAGAGTACTGTTACAATTAGAAGACGCCTATGTGAAGCCAAGCTATCTGCAAGAGGCCCCCGCAAAGTCCCACTGTTGAAAAAAAAGACGTGCTGAAGAGGGTACAATTTGCCAAAGAGCACATTGACTGGCCTAAAGAGAAATGGCGCAACATTTTGTGGACTAATGAAAGTAGGATTGTTCTTTTTGGGTCTAGTGGCCGGAGACAGTTTGTCAGACGACCCCCAAACACTGAATTCAAGCCACAGTACACTGGGAAGACAGTGAAGCATGGTTGCGCAAGCTTCATGATATGGGTATGTTTCTCATACTACGGTGTTGGGCCTATTTATCGCATACCAGGGATCATGGATCAGTTTGAATACATCAGAATACTTGAAGAGGTCATGCTGCCTTATGCTGAAGAGGAAATGCCCTTGAAATGGGTGTTCCAACAAGACAACGACCCCAAACACACCAGTAAACGTGCAACATCTTGGTTCCAGACCAACAAGATTGATGTTATGGAGTGGCCAGCCCAATCCCCGGATCTTAATCCAATAGAAAACTTGTGGGGTGACATCAAAAATGCAGTTTCTGAGGCAAAACCAATAAATAGAGAACTGTGGAATGTAGTCCAATCATCCGGGGCTGGAATACCTGTTCACAGGTGCCAGAAGTTGGTTGACTCCATGCAACACAGATGTACAGCAGTTCTCAGAAACAGTGCTTATACAACTAAATATTAAGTGATTTAAAGGAAAGCAAAATCTTCAAATATTTTTCAGTTTATATAAGGAATGTTTGAGTTTGTAAAAAAGAATACAAACACTGCTATTTCTTTAAACAATCTAATCACTTTTCTTCAATTTTTTTTAGAGGAAAAACACAAATTTTATATATTTTTCTTCATGTTTTGATTTGGAATAGAATGTGTAGTGTTCCCAATGCATTTTTGTGTATGGAAATAAAAGCTATTAGAAGGATTTTGAGCTTTATTCACTTTTTTCAACACACTATTGTTTTGAACACAACTGTACTTCTCCAATTTGTTTGGGTTTTTATGCTTAGTTAGGGCATCAGCACATAGACCTCTTTTAACACATCTGCTGAGAGAGACAGGAATTCAGCAACAGTCAGGTTATACTCCAACAGGAGTTATAAAACAATAGTATTTACCAAAATGTGCCGCGCTTCACTTAAAATTGCTCAAAATGAATAATATGTGCAGCCAATTGCTACAATTTTATAATGCATTATAAAATAAATGAATCAATCAATATCTGTATCCAAAAACAGTGTCTATATAATTGTCAAAAAATTCTTAATTGCTCCCCCACTGTTTGTGCTCTCACCTCAAGTATTACTTGTTATGCCACCGGTCGTGGAATCATTCCCCCTGATTAAGCCATGTGACTGTTGGCGTAATGCGTATGGGAGGGGCTTTGACGTTACAACGCTCAATGGTTCCATACTGACACCAGCTGGCAATTTTAGGATTTTCACCACTGAAAAAAATCTGGAGGACTCATTTTGTGCACAAGGCGATTTATATACAGAGTATATGAGTGCATTACTTTTATTAATAAAACGTTTTTTTAAAGGATAATACACATGATTTGATTCTTTACTCTATATCAACCACCGTGGAAGGGGAGCCCATCGATTGAGTGGAGGAGGACCCCAAACAGCAAGATACCACCCCATCCATACTTTGGCCCATTTAAAAGGAACACAAGCGTTATATGACCTTACTTATTGGTCTGGTCATATACTTGAGATGAGAACACAACCGGTAGGGGGAGCACAATAATGCAATTTTTTTTTTCACACAAAAAAATCCATTAAGAGGCACCGGATATTTTATTCTACAGTGAACTATGCACGTTTTGAAGAAGTTTTTATATATGGACCCATTTTTTTTTTTTTTTTTGATAATTATATGGACACTGTTTTTAGATATTGATGTTGGTTGATTCTTTTATTTGAACTTTATTTATTTTGATATGCATTATAAATAGTAGCAATTGGATGCACATATTTCTAGCAATTTTAAGCAAAGCATGGCACATTTTGGTAAATGGTATTGGTTTGGCACACTAGTACAGTATATGTTAGGTGCAAGCGATTCACAGTTGGCACGTGGTATTCATCACTCACATAGCGGCTCACAAACTTTCACTTTTCTCCTGTTGTAAACCAGCCCTCGTTTAACCCCACCCAGCAATGCATTGGTTTTTGCTAATGCCTTTCCTTAACTCTGCTGAAACAAATGTAAATTTGGTTACCCTTCTTTGCTTTGTGGAAATATTTCCTGTGTCTTCATTTAAGAATCATTGCCACATTTCTGCTTGAGCTGGTCTCTGTATATCAGCTAACTGGATTGGCATTTCTTCACCAGTTCTCTTAGGAGACCCACTGGAATGGGACGTAAGCTTCAAAACGCTGAACAGCTATTGAACGTCTGTTTAGGAGCTGCAGTGTACATGAGCCCTAAATATTCAGTCCTGGGACAATAATGCTAAAACTATTCAGTACATTTACTAATGTCCAGTTTCCTTCTGAGCGTGCTAACCCAGCTGTCTGTTTTGTGGCACACACCTTTTTAATGTTGAAATGTGAAGAGTAATAAGGTAACAAGGCCTAATAAACAGCACTCAGATGAGATTTCATTAGCTTGGCATTGAACCGTTTTGACTCTATTTAGCTATGGCAGGTTTGGGTAGACTTACACATACTGTATGCTAAGCAGGTTGGGGTAGACTTGCACATACTGTATCCTAAAAGCTTCTTGCTCAGTACGTGTATCCTTTTTAAATTG